ACTATCCTAAATATATAATCATTATCCTGACTATCCTAAATATATAATCATTATCCTGACTATCCTAAATATATAATCATTATCCTGACTATCCTAAATATATAATCATTATCCTGACTATCCTAAATATATAATCATTATCCTGACTATCCTAAATATATAATCATTATCCTGACTATCCTAAATATATAATCATTATCCTGACTATCCTAAATATATAATCATTATCCTGACTATCCTAAATATATAATCATTATCCTGACTATCCTAAATATATAATCATTATCCTGACTATCCTAAATATATAATCATTATCCTGACTATCCTAAATATATAATCATTATCCTGACTATCCTAAATATATAATCATTATCCTGACTATCCTAAATATATAATCATTATCCTGACTATCCTAAATATATAATCATTATCCTGACTATCCTAAATATATAATCATTATCCTGACTATCCTAAATATATAATCATTATCCTGACTATCCTAAATATATAATCATTATCCTGACTATCCTAAATATATAATCATTATCCTGACTATCCTAAATATATAATCATTATCCTGACTATCCTAAATATATAATCATTATCCTGACTATCCTAAATATATAATCANTATCCTGACTATCCTAAATATATAATCCTTATCCTGACTATCTTAAATATATAATCCTTATCCTGACTATCCTAAATATATAATCATTATCCTGACTATCCTAAATATATAATCCTTATCCTGACTATTCTAAATATATAATCATTATCCTGACTATCCTAAATATATAATCCTTATCCTGACTATCTTAAATATATAATCCTTTTCCTGACTATCCTAAATATATAATCCTTATCCTGACTATTCTAAATATATAATCATTATCCTGGCTATCCTAAGTATATAATCATTATCCTGACTATCCTAAATATATAATCCTTATCCTGACTATCCTAAATATATAATTATTATCCTGACTATCCTAAATATATAATCCTTATCCTGACTATCCTAAATATATAATTCTTATCCTGACTATCCTAAATATATAATCATTATCCTGACTATTCTAAATATATAATCTTTATCCTGGCTATCCTAAATATATAATCCTTTGGTGTCTTAAGAAACTTTTTACAAGTAAAAAAGGATTTTAATTTTTTCCGGATTAATTTGGATCCTTACAGTACAGTACAGTACAGTACAGTATAGTACAGTACAGTACAGTACAGTACACTACAGTACAGGCCTTACGAAATCTTTCCCCAAGCTCCGATGAATTATAAACCATGGGAAACTTTCGGAAATTAATGGCGGAACCTACCTTAATCGAATTAAGAATAAGTCTCCTCCTAGATGCTTCACATAACTGTGTATGACCCAGGAAAAATGTTTAAAAGAGGACAAGCGCTTTCTAATGATGTATTATTTGTCATATTTGGACATCAAACACATGATTTATAGGGGGGGTTCAAATTGACCCCCCCCCCCCACGTATACTGGTTTTCAAGTACCCGCAGGGATAGGGTTAAAGGCTTCAGGAAAGGATTCGAAAGGCCTGAACGGGTTCAAATTGATCCATAAAATTGGAAACCCTTATGTCAGATGAGCTTTTGAAATAAGTCATCTTTTGTTATAGTCTTTCAGGAGAGCATTTGTTTTCACAACAGGAGTCCTCTAGATCCCATAATCCACCTGAATACCCAAACTTGTCAGAACATGAACCTGGAGTACAGATTAATCCTAGTTTACAATCAGAATCTATTCTACAATCTCCTTCCCCCAGCTGACATGGTAAACCTCGCTGTGCCTTACTACAGCAGCTGTATCCTCCTTTACAATGCTGGTCTATACTGTTTGCTGCCTCCTTATCTAGAAATATTGAAACAGAATCATCATCAGTAGCATCTTCCAAGTACTCAACCTTACCATGTGTACACATCTTAGTATCAGCATCAAATGCAGCAGAGTTACAGGAATCTCCAGCTTGATTGCATAACATAGAACATGTCATATATGATGGAGTTTGTTGTTGAAGAACCATGGATTCCTTCCAAGTACTTTGTGATATATTATCAGTCTTGATGTACATCCTGCTTATCATTCCATTAACCTGTACAATTAAACATATGTACAGGATTAAACCTACAACAATATGCATGGTAGAGCTAGGGTTGACTGACCAAGTTTAAAACTATTATTTGGTTTTTACGTAAAGTAAATATTAAAGCTAATTTCAGTTTCCATATGATTTCTCAAACAAAGGGTTAAAGGGTATTTCAAACGTAGGCTTTAACATATCAGCAATCCTTCATTTTCGAACCAGTTTTTAAATTGATTAAAATTTTCCGTTTATTGCTTCGTATTTCAGTATTTAAGTATAACGTAGAATTAACTGAGTTATAACATGAGTATAATCGGACATACAGACAAACAGAGATTTCTACTTTATATGTATCGATATATAAGCGAAGTCATGCTTAATAATTTGCTGGAATTAGTTTCCTGAATTTAAATCTATCTTGGACACCGGAAGAGTTTATTAAAAAATTTAAGCATGGTTTGGAACTATACACTGATCCCAGGTAACAAAAGTGAGGAATTTACCCAGATTCTCCAACCGTGGTCACTTTCTTTGAAGAATCTCCAGTAATTTCTCAAGAATAATTTCCTTTAACTGATTCCTCGGAAATTCTCGAGAAATTCCCCAGAATTGGTCCTCAAGATGACAGATTTTTGGGGGATCACAGTTTTGAGACTCAGTTTCGAGAAATTCCTGAGAAATTCTCAGGACTTGGTCACCATGTTTACGGATTTTTAGCGGAATTTATTAAAAGAATTAGTTTTGTGAAATTCCTGGGAATTTCACCCCAAAAAAATCCTGAGAATTTCTCCAGATTACTTCTCCAGAAATTCCTGAGAAATTCTTAGTACTTGGTTACCATGTTTACAGATTTTTCGGGGAATTTAATAAGATAATTAGTTTAGAAAAATTCATGGGAATTTCTCTGGAATTTCACCCCAAGAAATTTCTGAGAAATTCTCCCAAAAATTCCTGAGAAACTCTCAGGACTTCATCACAGAATTTTCAAGTTCCGTTTTTCTCCAATAGGTGTCTTTGAGGTTCTCTTCTATTGTGCACTGCCCTAACTAAATCTTTTTTCTTTGCATCCTTATTGATATTGTCTGAATAAATAAAATACAGGACAACTTCAGTAAGATCAAAAACGACCATAACGTTCTGACTGAATAAGTTGGTTATACTTCTAAAAAGTTGGAGGGGAAATATAGATAGTTGTTAAGTAATTCACTATTATTGGGTAAACGTCCTGGTTAGTGAATGTACTCAGGAATATGCTGAGAATGTCAAGATATTCCTGAGGAACTCTTGAGAAAATCTTGGGAATAGTTCCCAGGAAATTCCCAGAAATTGGTTCTGCAGAACTTTTCTGTGGAAATTCCCAAGAATTTCCACAAATTTTGTCGACATTTTCTTCGATTTTTCTGCAGAATTTGTAACAAGAAGTTCCCTGGAATTGGTTACAAGAAATTCCTTGGAGAGGGTTATGAGAAATTCCTCGGAATGGGTTACAAGAAATTCATCGGACCTGGTTATGAGAAATTCCTTGGAATGGGTTACGAGAAGTTCCTCTGAATTGCTGTCAACATTTTCACCGGATTTTCCTGGGAGTTTTCGCGGATTCCCAGGAAAGATTCCTGGGAATTTCCGCGGATTTTCCGCAAAATTGTTACCTGGGCATAAACAACTTTTATTAGGTTTTACATAAATTGAGTTATTAGTTTTGGGCATTGCAAAATTTAAACGTGTTTGCATACAGTTTCGTGATACTTAATGTTTGCTCTATGTATTTTGTTATAATATTGAATTTAGATGTAAAAATATATGGATGGAATATTACCCAAAACTCGTCAAATATGACGATCTAAATGATGTATTTGGTCTTCAAGATGGTTTGATAAGGAAAGAAGCTACAGGGTGTCCCACGAAATATAACCGTTGAGAGGAGACTAGAAGTCTTTTTTATATAATTTACGCCCTGTATTCGTTAACCTTGTTTATTTTTTGACAATACTCACGTTTATAAAACGTTTTCTTCCTTTTTTGTGCTTGTAAAATATACCGATAGTTAATAGATTTTCTTTCAGATTTTAATTATTTCAAAGAACAAAGAAGATATTCAAGTCATCTCTCAAGTGTGATGTTTCAATCATGGGACACCTTGTAGCTTTCAATTGTAGGAACTATATGGAGTAAATTCTGTACAGTCGTTTCTCAAGTCTCTTACAATGTTGGTAACTCTGAACAAAAACATTATTTTGTACACATCTTTTATATCTTTATTTATATCAGTTTGGTTTGTCTGTTTTTGTTTGTTTGTTTGTTTGTTTGCTTGTTTGTTTGGGTGGGTGTTTTGTTTGTTTGTTTGTTTGGGTGTTCGTTTGTTTGTTTGTTTGTTTATTTGCTTGTTTGGATCCAATAAATATAAAAACGGCACCTGACATGCTCCCCGGGAAGGATAATGTTGGTCAAACTTTTCAAAGTTTGCTTTAAAGAAATTAGATTTTTGAAGTATTTGAAATTCTTAAGGAAACCCGATAAATCTGCATAACTGTTAATTCTTGCTTTTTACTTTGAATTGTATAACGAAGAATTTATAAGAGTTTGTATTAGATCATCACAAACAAAAGACTGAAATTATGAATAGCTGAAAACGGGCGTCAAATCTACCATTTTTTTATTTTGCTTTGGGGAAAAAATAACTATTTGTTTTATTTCCAATCTAAAATGAAGACGATATTTGTATTGACTTGAGAGACGACTTGACAATTATAAACTATGTAAGATGCATGGTAATAATGGTGAAAGGGTACTGTTGTGAATCAGACTCTTGTTTCATGTAGGATAACTTCAAGTTACACGGACAGTGCAATTCAACGAAATAAGGATGCAAGAGTTGTTTTGAAAATATGAAATGATAAAATATATTTCTGAAAAAAATGTTTAAATAACAATTATTCTTTACATAAGCAGAGGGCATGTTATCTTGTTGTCACAGTCTTCTCCCAACCACTCGACCAACCTAAATATATATTATTATCTGCTTTCATTGTTTTTGAAAATAAAGGAGAGAAAATATTCTATAGTTTGTTTTCTAAAAAAGGCTAATTATTGATCCAGCCATTTGATGGATTTATAGGATACCATGGTTAAATCGTTGCATGGTCCAAACCGGTACAAGGATTTACAATCTATTGCAATTGTACTGTATATGCATTTACTAGTACCGGCAGGTCTAGGATACTTGGTATACAGTCGACCCAACGCGTTTTTGAACTAAATCTAGGCTGTCTGGATCAATGTGAGCAATGAACTTCTTTTTTAGGTTCGTTTTTCAACATTTAAGTTTTTTCACATTAAAGAGACTATAAAGGAAAATTGAAAGGGGGTATAGGATGAAACCTGATAATCTCAGGCGTTGAATGATACATTTAAGGCTTATATCTGATGTTCCTGTCTCGAGAAACTGATAAAAAACTTATTTATTCGAAAATTCATATATAAGCAATTTTGTATAAAAGTTGTAGTATTAAACAGATCGTATTCAACAAATACGAAACCAATCTAAACACGATTATTTTCCTATTATAATATTTTTTATTTTGATTTTGCATTTTGAATAGATATAATTGATAATATTATTACATATAGTATACTGCACTGCCATTGGCTGAAATACTGACTTACCTAAATATATAATCATTATCCTGACTATCCTAAATATATAATCCTTATCCTGCCTATCCTAAATATATAATCCCTATCCTAACTATCCTAAATATATTTTTCTTATGAATTATAAACCATTGGAAACTTTTGGAAATTAATGGCGGACCGCGGAACCGAATCAAGGAAAAGTTTGCCTCCTAGATGCTTGACAGAACTGTTTTTGCCCATGGGAAAAGGTTTACGGGACGATTATTTCCGATTAATTCCATTTGAAGAAATCGTCCCGTAAAGTTTATTTGAAATATAATACTATCTATAAGAGATTTTTATTCTAAAATAAGGTAATAATGTTAAGTAAAGATTTTTTAACGATTTTTTATTTTCCTTGATTGATTTATTTGATAAATGTTACAATTACTTACTCATTATTAAAAGTTTGAAATCCTTGAATCCACTTTAAAACATCACATTTTACAACAGTTCTAAACAAATTCTTTTCTTGCATATCTCAATGTTATTTTTTGATTTTAATAATTAAATATACAGGGTGTCTCTAGAAAAAAACTTTTAATACAAATAAACTGCACTCACCATGGTTAAATTTTTTAAATATTGGACATTTTATTTTATTGAACATTTCCGTTCGATTGATATCAATTAGAGGTGTGTATGCCAAAATTACAGAAGTAAGAACAGTTTGAAATTTTTTGAATTTTAATTACACCGTATTATGGAATTTCATTAGGGTCTAAAAATGCTAATCTTTCCAACAAATCTGAAAAATACGCAGTTATTCTGGAAGAATAGCAAAACCTTAGTTTACAATGCAAATAAAAACTCCTTTTAAGTGCCACAAAAAAGAAAGGGCCTTTTTATTTCAACTATTATTATTACAGTGATCACCAGAAAACTGTAGAATAGGAAGACGACATTTTAGCATTACTGAAGTGCATTTGATGTTGTTACAAAGCTGATAGCTTTACTAGTAAGTTGTTAAATCACTTACTAGGTGAAATGGGTCTGTTTACACTGCACAACTGCTGGGCCTCAAGTCCATTGGACTATTTAAAGTCATTACTTTAGTTTAAAAGTTTGCTTTCTATTCCAGAGTTTTCTGGTTATCACTGTATAAATATCATTATATCAATATTCTTAATAATTTTTGTGTTATTGTAAACTTTTATTTTTATCTATTGAAATAAAATGAAAATGCAATGATAGTTCTTTCTTTTACTTATCACAATTAATTGGTTCAATTTTCAACCAAGTCAAAATGTCAAATTTCAAACTGCTCTAACTGCTTTAATTTTTGTGCTTTATACCTCTTATTGGTAGCCATCGATAGGAAATATTCCATAGATTTTTAAAATGTCTAAAATAGTAATTGAACCATTGTAAGTGCTACAATGTCTTAACCATGTCTAAAAAAGTGTTTTTAGAGACACTGAGTAGTTTTTTTTGTCACCTGCACCCGCTTTCATTAGAAATCTGATGAACGGTGTTTAATGTTTTTTGGTTTGCACTGTTCAAGATTTCAGTTCAACTTTACTTATCTTATTAATCTTTTCTTTTTCCTTCAAAAATTTGAGAGTTTTTCCATCAAAAGTTAGATTGAAAATATTAGAAGCAAGCGGATAAGATTATTTTCATTCTTTAAAGGGAGTGTTTACATTTGTGCAAATACACCTAAACAACTGAAACCTGTCTTATCACAGAAAACGAAAATATTGCTAATTTATCATTAATTAAAATGTGTTCGCAAAATCTTTGGAAGTTCTTAATATTTTTCGGACTTTCCAATATGATACTTTGGTCGGCGATTATATCATTATAATGAAGACGACTTTTTTATATTTAACTTTAATTGTTAACTTGAATTACAAGTTTACAAGAGAAGCTTATTAAATTAACAGCTTCTGTTTTTCTCCATGTTTTTGTGTAGCTATAGGGTGAACTTAAAGAATTTGAGCCGCAGTTCAAACATGACTGGTTCCGCTTGAAATTATATTTATTGTTTCGAGATTTGAGCCGGCTCTCAATTGGAACCGGTTTTTGGCGGATTAGCGACGTGGTTCAAATTCTTTTAATTCTGTCTCATGATATTAAAAAACTTGATATGAATCAAAATTGTAATCGAAAGTCCTCTTCATTGTATTGATATAATCGCCAACCACCGTAACAAATCTGATATTCAGTGAACAATGACAATCCTAATAAATCATAACTCCTCTGATGAACAGCTATAAGCTGAAAGGAATAAAAATATTAAAAATATAAATTTGTTTGTTTATACTCGAATTGACAAATTAGAGCGGTACGGTATGGTACAGTACGGTACAGTACGGCACGGTACGGTATGGTACAGTACGGTACAGTACGTTACGGTACGGATGATTCCAAAAATTAGGTAATTTCCCTAGTTTAGCTAAAATTATAAAGAGTTTGAAATATTCCTGTATAAAACCTGCCAAAAATCAACTGTGTCCTACAAAAAAACGAAATATTAAAATCTTAATTTTTGATCAAATGATATTTATTTTGCATTCCTTATCTAGCAGTCGAGGCATTACAGCCATGAAGTTGTTGACATTGATGTTGTTGTCATTATTATTGTTGTCGTTGTTGTTGTTATTATTGTTGTTGTTGTTATTGTTGTTATTAACGGAAACGTTGATAACTGTGTTGATGGCAACAAGAATAAAACTGAAGAAACTTGAGACACTGAAGCAGTTCGACCCTATCAGACAAATATTCATTTATTCAATTTTCTAGGAGATTTATTTTACTTAATATTTCCAGTTGTGGCTTCCCGCCCTACAACAGGGAGAAAAAGTAATTTTACTGTTAAATTTTGTTTAAAAATGTTATTGTAATGGGTTTCATGATTGCGAAAAAGTTTTTGTTGTGATTTTCACTTTTTCTAGTCTGATTTCTAAATAAAAGTATTTTTATTTTGATCTTAAACAAATCCCGGCAAGACTTTTTGACACTTAATAATACCAAATGTCCATTAAAATATCATTAATTGATACTTTATGATTAAGATAATGTTCATAATTTTCAAATCAGTATGTTGAACCAATATTAGGTGAGCTGTGAATATTGACTACTTGAATTTAATCCCAGCTTTCTTTGACAAGCGTATATCTAAGAAAATAATTTAAGAAACATGACAGTAGCAAGAGGACTTGAAAGTCGTCTTTGATCTTTGAATTTATTTGGGACATGGGGGGGGGGAAATGGCGACTGTTTTATGAATTTGTGTTTAGATATTAATGAAGATGCTGCCTAATACTCGAGGTTCGTATTGACTAAAAATGGAAACACTTGTTAC